TTTCTTTATAAGGGTGCCGCACTATAACGGGGATCCAATTGGACCCTAATTTAGAGAACTATCCGGGTTAGGTTGGGGCACACAGCCAACCCTGCGGGCTGACTTCGAGCTCGTGCCCTAAGGAGCATTTTAATTAGAAATTGCTTCTAGATGATGCTGAGCAAAGCGAAAGAAACGACCAGCCTATATATTATATGGTTTGGGGTTTAGGGTTAAGGCCCTCATACGAGTAAGTAAGGCTCTTGTAAGGCCCCTTTATTTCTCACAAACTGCAGGCAAAGCTCTCCTGGTCGAGGTTCTCGGTATGAAGGATTCGTTGGCAGTACTGGTGGGTGGCGCTGGACTTGTTGAAGACGCCATAAACTGACCTCGAGCATCTAAGCCGCGCAGAGCAAGGTACGGGCGTGCGTATAGTACACGCATAGACACCTCTCTACCCATAGGCCCCTAAGTAGTGCCTTTTTGAGATTCATATTTTAGAATCCTATAAGGTAATCCCAAAAAGGAACTACTCCGGGGCCTATGGGTATACAGTATATGATAGCCTACGAAAACCGAATCGAAATTGTAGAGATTCTGGATTCAGGGGAACACCGTAGCAGAATACGTCAAGCACTGCAGGGCACCAAACGTTCTGTCGGTGTTCAATTGCTTGAGAACCCAACAGGAGCAAATGGTCTGAAACGTTTTTGATGTGAAAACACCCAATCCGCAACGATAGGCCGAATCCACTGAACTTAAGCCAAACCCCCAAAACCGTAGAGTGTATACATCTTTGACCCCAGGCCCTCGGAAACCCTAAACCCCAGACCCCAAACCCTAAACGTAAACCCTAAACCCCAAACCCTAAGCCCTAAACCCTGAACCCCAAACCCTAAACCCCAAACCCCCAAACCCCCCTTCAAAACTTCGTCGCGCGGCAAGACCTGTGGCATGAAGAAGCAATCGCTCAGGTACGGACCTTGCGACTCAAAACTCTGGGGCTCTGAAAGCTCCCGGGTTTTGAGGGTTTAGGGTTTTTAGGGTTTAGGGCTTATAGGTTTGAGGGTTTAGGGTTTA